CCCCGGGCGCCCCCCCCCTTTGGGGGTTTTTTTTTTTTTTTTTTTTTTTTTTTTTTCTTCCCAAGCCTGGTGGGTTCTGAAATCCCTTTCCAGCTCCTAGGATTGCTGGAATTGTTTCTCAGTGAACGCTAATTAACGTCCCACCATTGCCCGGTTGAATTATGGCAGACTCCTTCCAGGGTCTCCTGCTGACAAGGTACAAAGATTTGAAAAACCCAAGGTTTGACTATTAAGACATCTGAAAAATGTTTTGCCAACATTTCCTTTTTCTTTTTTTTTTTTTTTCTTTCTGGTTAAAGAGTGAACATGGATGCCCCAAGAGGCTTCTGAAAGAAATGAGTCACAGTGGGAAGGGGGTGGTGGTAAGAACAACAACAAAAAAAAAGGGGGGAATTTCTAAATGGAGGCAGTGGGAAGTTGTTGAGCAGGTGAGATCTAAAAGCAGGCTGTTCCAGTTGGGAAAAGTACAGTGCAGAAGACGCTTACTAAGCTGAGAAACCAAGCTTGATAATAAGGGGGAAGCTCAGGGAATTCTGTAATTGCCTCCTCCTCCCTTCCCGTTTGCAAACCCCTCTGTGCTAAGGGATTTCAGACAAACTGTCCTTTCTTCTTCTGAGTTTTCATAACACTCGTCTTCTCTCCTGTCTCCTCTCTGCAGTGGCCTCTTCTACAGCATCTTCACTGACCAGCTCAAGTGCAACTTGAATGTCATCAACCTGGACCCTGAAATTAACCCTGAGGGGTTTTGCATTCTCTTGGACTTCATGTATACATCCCGCCTGAACTTGAGGGAGAACAATATCATGGCTGTGATGGCCACAGCACTGTACCTGCAGATGGAGCATGTGGTTGATACCTGCCGAAGGTTTGTCAAGTCTAGGTGAGCGCCATGAATGAACTTTAGAGACCCTGGGATGGTGTGCTTGGGTGGGAGGGGGGAGAACTGACAAAGTACCTGGAAATTTATCCTTATGGGCTGAAAATGACTGCGTCTCCCTCCTTTTTGCCTGGTTCCAGTGAAGCGGAGATGGTGTCTGCTGTGAAGACCCCAAGGGAAGAGTTTTTGGCTGGACGGATACTGAGCCACCCAGAGGTGATGGCTTATCGGAGCAGAGATGTCTCGGAGAACGGCATGCCTCTCCAAAATGGGTCCCTCTGCAATGGGAGGGCCTTTGCACCTGGCTTGATCAATAGTTTGTCTGGATCCCCCATTTCCTACCATGGATACAGCCCTCTCCCTCTAAATAGCTTCATTGTGGATGATGAGTTGCGGGAGATGAGGATGCCTCTCTCCGAACTCTCAAGGGCGGGTGCCTTCCCCAAGGAGAGGATCCTGCCATGTGACAGCTCCAGGACAATCCCCACTGAGTACATGAGAACCATTACCGACATCTCGGCCAACATGTGCCACGCTACCATCTATGCTCCGAAAGAAGGTGCTGCTGAAGAAGCCAGGAGCGACATGCACTACAGCGTAGCCTCTGGCCCCAAACCTGTCATCCCTTCAATCCGGAACAATCCCTATTTCTCTTGTGACAAAGTGGCCAAAGAGGAGGAGCGGACCTCTTCAGAGGATGAGATCAGCCAGCACTTTGAGCCCACCAACACCCCCCTGGACCGCAAGGGACTCATCAGCCCTCAGAGCCCCCAGAAGTCAGACTGTCAGCCCAACTCGCCAACCGAGTCCAGCAGCAGCAAGAATGCCCGTATCAGTCAGAGCTCCAGCTCCCTCTTCACTAAGAGCCCCACAGACCCCAAAGCCTGCAACTGGAAGAAGTACAAGTTCATTGTCCTCAACTCTCTCAATCAGAGCACCAAGCAAGATAGTGCTGACCAGAACGAGATGGGAACCCTCTCTCCTCGCACCTACATGCCCATGTCCACTTGCCAGCAGTCCATGGAGCCAGAGCATCTCAATGTGCAGTCCCCCACCAAGATGAGCGTGAATGGAGAAGACTCTACTATCCCACAAGCGAGCAGACTCAACAATATTGTTAACAGGTGAGAAGATTTCCACCCCACGCCACAAGAGACAGGACTCCCTGTGTTGTTGGTGAGGGTTTGGAAGTGTGTGAAATAGCCATAATGTTGGGCTGGGGAGTCCAGCCATGAGCAGGTGGAAGCCTCTGCATTTGGTGGAGTGCTGCCAATGACATCAGCTGGGTGCCAGCTGTCCCCACCTTTAGTGGTGCTAGCCTGGCCTGGTGATGGAATTGGGAACATTGGGTCAGGAATCCCTGTCTCCCTTTGGCAGCTCTGGATAGTTTCTGGAGCCTGGATTTGCCTAACCTGGTTTTCACCAGACTCCCTGTGCCTCGAGCTATTGGTTGGCTGTAAGCATTGGAAAGGTCAAACTACCAGTGAACAGTATGCTATCCTCTGGACCTGGATGTTCCTAGAGAGCTTTGAGGTTGTTTGGTGATGGACACCTAAAGGATTGAGGCTCGGGGACCCGTTGTTGATCAGGGCTACACTGTGTATCTTGCCACAGAAGTGTGCCCATGAAACGTGGCTGTCCCCTTGTGTCTGGAAGGGTGCAAAGAAGGGCCCAGTAGCTCAAGCACAGCAAGAGCCTTCTCACGGCTGTGTGCATTGCTGTCCTTCCACAGGTCCCGGGATGGGTCCCCTCGGAGCAGCGAAGGGCAGTCTCCACTGTACATGCATTCGTCGAAGTGCAGCTCCTGTGGCTGCCAGTCCCCGCAACATGCTGAGATGTGCCTTCATACCCCTGGCTCAAACTTTGGAGAGGAGATGGGGGAAACCCAGTCTGAATACTCTGACTCCAGCTGCGGTGAGTCTTGCATCCCTCGTCACCTTTTTCAACCATCAGGCCAGGGGGCTGTGCAGCCTGGGGACCTGTCCAACCAGTGCCCTGTCTCCAAACGGGCAGGCAGACCTGTCCCTGCTGCTGGTGGATCCCAAGGTGCTTTACAGTCCCGTGTTAACTGGCTGACCAGCTGTGTGCATGCATGTGAGGGACACATGTACATGGGAATTGCTTCCTTCCTCCCTTCCCCAGCACCATCCAGATACCTTGTGCAGGGAGTTAGTCACCTGCTGCAAACTTGGCAGCTAAGGACAGGAAACGAAGTGCACCCCACCCCACCAGAACCACAGGAGAACAAGCCTGGCAGATGTAATGACCCTAATGGGGATTGGGCAAGAAAGTATGTCTCATGCATCCGTCATGATGTCTTCATTATCAGGGAGCCCAATGCGCACGTCTGGAGAAATGCAGATAATGAGGTTTGCAATCTTGTTGCAAAACTCCACAAGCCCAGAGACCAGTATCTGTGCACCCATCTGCCTGTAGCTCAGGGAGGGGGAATGCAGAATTGTCACCTGTGGTGTGGGCAGAGATCCATAGAGGGAACCCCGCTGAGGTGATGCTCAAAGCTATGTACGGCATTTAAGAGTTGGGCACCCTCCTACTGGGGGAACCTGCCTTGCGCTTCAGATGATGATGGTCTTCCCATGCCCAAGGAAGCCATCTGTGCATGCAAAGGTTTAAGACCTCTGAAGTTGCTGGAGTTGCTCCAGAGCTGAACATCCATCCTTTGGAGGATGCCTGATATGTTGGGTGCCTTTGTGGACCTCTCTGAAAGACATCCAGGCAAGGTGCTGGCTTCTTGGAAGCAGCTTACATCACACTGAAGGAGTGGTGGCTCATGATGACTTTGCTCTCTCAAACCACGCATGTTGTTGCTGTGTGCACAAGAAGGTCAGGAGGTAATGGCACGGTGCAAGCACTGCTGACCACAAATGTCTGCACTTGGCTTCTTGTTCCAACACTTGCTCTAGCTGCCCCTCTCTACCATCCCAAACCCATCCCATGGCCCATTGAGGAGCTGGCCCATGCATTTCCCATCTCATTGTTCTCTTCTGTGCCCTCACAGAGAACGGAGCCTTCTTCTGCAACGAGTGCGACTGCCGATTCTCCGAGGAGGCCTCTCTCAAGAGACACTCTCTGCAAGTCCACAGTGACAAGCCCTACAAGTGTGACCGCTGCCAGGCCTCCTTCCGCTACAAGGGGAACCTTGCCAGCCACAAAACCGTCCACACAGGTATGGTGTTGGCCACAGGGACAACTTACTGAGGAGGCTGTGGGTTGCTGGACCTGCAGGTGTTTATGGCTGGGTTTGCCCCAGGTGCAGCATCCTCTGCTCTGTGTCACAAGATGTCCCTGATGGGAAGAGCAAGGTGCTTTTTGTGGCACTGCCCAGGAGCTCCTGGGCAGAGCACCAAACCTGGGAATGGGGGAGATGCTGCCTGGTCTCGCAGCAGGGATGGAGCTCAAGCTCCTTTGCTGTAAAGTACCGGGCACCACTGTTTCTAAAGGCATCTTGCAAAATACATGGCTGGGAGCAGATGTGTGTCCTCCAGGTTACTTTATGGTAGACTTAAAAAAACCCCAAACAAACAAAAAACAAACAAACAAACAAAAAAAACCACCAACACCCCCCCCAAAAAAAACCAAAAACAAAACAAAAAAACAACCCAACAAAAAAACCAAACCCAAAACAACAAAAAAACCCACCACGTCAAAATAACATTTAGGGAGAAGTCTGGGATTTTTTTCCCCTGCATCCTAGAAATCCAGATCATATCTAGCCTGGCAGAAACTCTGCTGATGGGAAAAATCTGTGAACGGATGGACTCTTTGAATCAGCACAATGAAAGCTGAGAAAGGAAGGGGATATTAAGGGTTTAGTCATTTGCTGACAAACCTAGGGATTTTTTTTTTAAGCTTTTATTAATGCTTAACATGTCAACAGCCAGCTCACTAGCTGGGGAAGGGAAGTGTGTGCTGACAACTCTGTGCTGCTGCACTGAATTAGACGTGAATTCCCGCAGTCTCAACTGAGCTCCAGGAGGACTGCACAAATGAATGAGACAGCACAAGTGCCAGGGCAGGGTTCAAGGGTGCATGGGGTCGAATCCTGGAAATAAAAGAAAAAGGCAGGAAGGGATAGACGCTGGCTGTTTCCCACTCCCCATCGAGCCCATCATCAACCGTCCTAAAGAAACCAGTTAAAACACTTTTGCAGCTCGCCGCATGGCCGGGGGCCAGCAGTAGTGATTGTAGCCAAATAATGACCTGGGAGCAGGGTTGCTGGGCATGCCTTGGCTTTTCTCTCCTCTAAAGAGGTGACAAACGGCCGAGGCGGGATGTGGGGACCAGGAGGAGCCCAAAGGGAGCCTGCGTGGCTTACAGATGGCTGCAGGGAGACGCTGTCATGGGGCCAGGAGGAGCAATGATGTTAATGCTCACTGGCAGAGCTGCCCAGCCTTCTCTCTTGCCCTGAAGGCTGCAGCTCCCAACCCAAAAAAGAAAAGTTACCCACAGCAGCCGGGAACCTCCTGAGCTCACCCTGCTCTGGGGATACTCTGGGCTGTCCTGATCGATGCTGCTTGTCCACAGCCATCTCCAAAAGGGACAGGAGGCAGGGATAGTGCTTCATGCCATGGGGTCTGGCACCTGAAGGGACTTAGCTTTGGGGAGAGCCATGGATCATGGGGGCTGAGCGCACCTGTACTTAATCCCTCACCCTTTCTTTTGGGCTCTGCAGGAGAAAAGCCGTACCGCTGCAACATCTGCGGAGCACAGTTCAACCGGCCGGCCAACCTGAAAACCCACACGCGCATCCACTCCGGAGAGAAACCCTACAAGTGCGAGACCTGTGGGGCCAGATTTGTCCAGGTGCATGTGGCCTCTGGGACCTGCATTGGCTGGGGAGGTGGGACATGGCCGGACCTCCTGCCCAAGACCGGTGGTGCCTCATGGCAGGGAGAGGGCTGATGGGCCATGCTCACTGCCTTGGGCAGCTCTTCCCATGGGGTTGTGGGATAAATAGGGGCCTTAAGGTCCGTGTGGGCCAGTTTGGCTTAGTAGGAAGCCTGGTTGCTGGTTTTAGCTCTTCCATTTGCTGTTAGGGTTGGAAATATCAGACCTCAGACACATGGGGCCCTGACTCCTAGCTAGAATACAATTGACCAAAAAAAGGTGGCTGGACAAAACCCTGCTCCTGATGGGATGCCCTTTCTCCCACAGGGATGCCCTTGCTCCTTGTGGGTTGCCCTCATCCCTGGGGCTGTCCTCACCCAGAGCTGCTCTCTCTTAGGTGGCCCACCTCCGTGCTCACGTGCTCATTCACACTGGTGAGAAGCCGTACCCCTGTGAGATCTGCGGCACACGCTTCCGGCACCTGCAGACCCTCAAAAGTCACCTTCGAATCCACACGGGAGAGAAACCGTATCATGTGAGTGACCCTGCTATTTTTTTTTGGGGGGGTCTCAGCCAGGGCTGGGGGAGGATGCTGCCAAACCTGGGGGGCTGGGAAGACACCGGGGCATTCGTGTGGGCTGGTTGCAGCACGCCAATGCCCTTCGCCAGCCTCAGGGGAGGCCCCACGCCAAGGGTCGCGTCCCTGCTTCTCATGCCCTGTCCCCCTCTCGTGCATCAGCCGATGCTGACATGGTAGTTTGTCATGAGCGGCTGCGTTGGAAACACTGACGTGCAGCCCAGGCTGGGTACATCTTAGCTGCTCCTCTCTTCTTCCACCTCATCTGGAAGAAGGTCACACTTCTCCAAATAGCTGTGGCTTAAATTACAGCCTCCTGCTGTGCATGGGGATGGGGGAAAGGAGCAGGCAGCCTGGCCTGGGGTCCCCTGTGCTGGTGGCACCCGCACCGAGCAAGCAGCCTGCCCTGGCTTGCTTGCAGCCCTGGGGGGGGTCCCAGCTCTTTCAGTATTTTGAGGCTTTCCCCATCCACTAGAGAGGGAATCAGAGCTGGGGTTATCATCCAAACGTCCCTCTGGAGCCATCCAGCTTGGCAGGGGTCATAAAGCAGCTCCCAAAATAGCCTGGTAGCTGTTATGAGCGTCTAGATAAGGAGCTCGGCACTACCTCTGACAGAGCCAGTGTCCTCTCCTAAGGGACCTCAGCCTTTGTGCATCCCATAAACCGAAATGTGCTGCCAAGAGCCTGGGATGAGGTGCCCCCAGGTGCTGCTTCTCCCACCATGTCGCCGCTTTTCCCTCGTCCCCTGGTGTAATGGGTGCAGCATCCTGGGGCTGGGGTAGCTGGTGGAGAACAGGCGTTTGCCTTGGGACCCCTGCCCTGAAGGGAAGGACGTGTGCCCTCCCGTCACCACCTCTCACACCCTCTGCCTTTGCCTCTCACCCCACAGTGTGAGAAGTGCAACCTGCATTTCCGCCACAAAAGCCAGCTGCGGCTTCACCTCCGGCAGAAGCACGGGGCCATCACCAACACCAAGGTGCAGTACCGCATCTCGGCGAGCGAGGTGCCTCCGGAGCTCCCCAAGGCCTGCTGAAGGCAGAGGATTTCCCAGGAGGAGGTCATCTTGGCAGGGGGGGAGAAGCTGTCCAAAGGATACTTGTAACACTTTAACAGAAAAAGGAAAAACAAACAAAAAAAAAAAAACCAACCAAACAAAAAAGAACTCATCATATGATGGAGTGCCTCTAAACCCATAGTGCAGATAGGTGGAAAAACATTAGAAATTAAAAAAAAAAAAAAAAAATTACAAATACACGGGTTTTATTTTTCCCAGTTATGTGAAACAAAAAGAAAAATTATTCAGATCTTATTGTATATAAAACATAAAAAAATAAAAATAGTCATTTTAAATGTCTGTGCAGTGGAGTGTTGATAAACTCTGGAGTCTAACCTTCACAGCCTTTGCCGTTTGAAGATGAGGAATGTAATGTTGATTTATGGGAACAGATTTTTTCTTTTGTATGCAAAATGTGTGTTCTTTTAAAGAGAAAGTATGCTATTAAAGAGAGGGCTTTAACTTTTTTAACCATATATATAAAATTATATATATAAAACTTTAAAAAAGCTATATTAAAAATATATAAAATGCATTAAAGGCTCAGTTGGACTCTGCAGGCAGAAGCCACTCTGAGAATCTTTATTATGATAGAGCACTTAACGAGATATTTTAAAGTATTGCATCTGTACAAGTAAGAAAATATTTTGTCTAAATGCATTCAGTGTATTTGTATTTTTTTGCAAGTGAAGGTTTACAATTTACAAAAAAGTGTGTATTAAACCAACAAAGCTGCAGAAGGAATTTAAAATAATAATAAAGTGTAATTTTTTTTTGTTCTAGTTCTCAGTCTGTATATATGTAAAATGTGGTTTCGCACGGTGCCTTTCTTTTCAATGGAAGTTTTCAATGTATGGACTATATTGAGCTCAGTTTCTTCAAGGTACAGCCTGATGTTGCAAGAGGAGTTTTGGTGGAACTCTCTAGCGGGGAATGTTTTGGTTTTTTTTTTTTGTTTTGGTTTTTTTGGTCTTATTTTACATGCTTGTGTTATAAACAATCTCGGGAGACAGGGTTTGGGCTGTGTCTAAACTGCATTAATGCGTTCTGTAAAATATAGCTGTACAAATAAAAGAATAAAATGAAGAAAAGTGAAGTATGATGGAGTGAGGGGTCTGTTCTTGCCTGTCCCTCTCCTCAAGCACTGTGAAGGCCAGTCGGTGCCCCGAGAAGGGGCTGAGCAGCCCGAGCCTGTACACGAGCTCTTGGCTTGGTGCAGCTCTGGCCCTGTGTTGAAGGGCTGGCTGAAGCAGCCTTTTCCAGGCTGGAGTGAAGGTTGTCTCCATCATGAAGTCAGCGCAAGACTCGAGCTGCCTGCTCTGCATCCTGGTGGGCACCAGGATGTCCCACCGTGCCACCTCCTTGGTATTTTCTGCATTTGCCCCAAGTAGCTGGCAGAAATAGGGCAGAGCCTGGGAGAGACCTTTTGCTGATCAGCCCAGGGCCAGTTCCAGGTGGCTGGGTAGTTATTTATATTTCCTGGAAACCAATGCAATTGCCAGAGTTGCTCAGGGAGAAGGCTGCCTGCTGCTTCTCTTGCTTTCCAGCGCCTGAGATAGGGGGGCACTGCCGGTTTGGCTGCCTTGTGCAATGGTTTGGTGGAGCAGGGTCTGTAACCCTCTCCAGGAACTCGCTGGCTGATAGCATCTCTGGGCTTCCAGCCATTGCGTGCTGGCTGCGGGCCAGAGCTGAGAAAGCCCAGCTTGAGGGAGTCCCCCTGCTCTTCCCCACCAGGGAGAGGAGATGCTTTGGTCCATTTGGCTGAGCACAGCTTGGGGGGGGGGGTGTGTGAAGCCACAGGATAACCAGGCCCCTGGGAAATGGGCATGCCCAGGGTTCATGCAAGTGCCTGGTGGTCGGTGCAAGCAACCCAGCAGCTCTTTGCTGGTGAGGGCTCACTGGTTGTAGAAAACAAGAAGAGCCTCATGCAAAAAGCTTCTCTCAGCTATGCAGGCAGGACCGGCTGCATCCAGCGCTGGTACGGACGGGGGCCACTGCTCAACATGGCCCAGGCTGGAGTCTGAGGCCCACAGAGCTCATTTCATTTTTGGTTTAGTGAATTCATGGATAATTTTGGTGCAGGGCTTGGGGGGGTTGATTCATGGGGGGGGACCTGAAAACACCAGCTGAAAGTGGAGGGCCTGACTGTTTGTAGGGTCAGGAGGGGCTGCAGTAAGGAGGAGCTGGAGGTGAAGAGGAAGATGAGCTTTTCAACGCACCATGGGACAGAGGTGGACATGAGACAAGCAAAGCAGCCCTGCGTGGGAGGGAAATGCCAAGAAGCATGGGGGAAGAATCAATCTGCAGCCTTGCTTTGCAGGACCCCCAGCTCCTCTGGCTTGTCTCCCACCAGACCAGCTCTGCTGGCATGTGAAGAAGCCCCCAAAAAAGTGAGGGCTGAGCACTGAGCTGCAGCCAGCCCCTCCCTCTTCCTGCTGTTTGATTTGGCCGGGCAGAACGCCTGCCTGGCAGCCTGCAGCAAGCGCCCGCCTGCTGCAGGGCAGGCTTTTCGTGGGGTGAGGTCCTCTCGGCCACAAAACCCTCTCTTCACGTGCATCCTCCCAGGGCAGAAGCCTACTTCTCACCCCGCAGGCTGGGCGCACCCCGCTGGCTGCTCGGCAGGGCTGAGCCCAGCAGGAGCCCTCACCAGCTTGCTCATGTTAGGCGGGGGGGGGGGGGGGAAATGACAACAAACAGGGCATTGCCTGAGCATTGGGAATAGCAAAAACCTGCTTTCCCACCTTGCTCCCACTTGCTTCCTCTCGCTACCTCTCCCTGATAGGTTCTTAATGCTTAGTAAAGCTGCTTGTCCTCATGATGGGGTTTTGACACATATGCTGTCCTCGTTTGACACACATACTTAGGTTTCTCCCCTCTGTCAGGAGCTGCCTGCCTTTGAGCTCTCTAGCTCTCTGATTACTGCAGTTGTCACTTTTGGAAGTGGCTGGGCTGGGCTGACAGCCCCGCTCACCCCAGACAAGCAGGCTGCATAGCTACGACCTCTGTTTCCCGTTCACTTGCTCAGCTGCATTTGCAAAATAAATATCATATTTTCCTGGATCATGGCTGCGTTTTCTCCTCCTGACAGATTTTCTTTTTTTTTCTTTTTTTTTTAAATTGTGATGTCACAGCTTTTCCAGGCAGCTCAGCTGAAGCGATAGCAATTGCTCCCTTACTGTCCACAGGGCAGAGGTCTGCAGGCATCCGGCACAGCCAGCCTGTGCCGGCCAGCTTTGCTCAGCACATGCGGTGTTTGTAGAGGCAAGGGAGCAGTCACACACAGGGCTGCACTGCACACGTCTTATGGCTGTGGCGCCCACAACCATTGAACTGGTCAGGCCTGCCCAGGTCAGTACCATGGGGTTATTTGCCCTTTGAAAACCTGGCTCCAAATACAGGGTCTGACTCTTGCCAAGCCTCCAAAGAAAGAACAATACTAAACCAATAAACTGGCTGGTTTCCAGGAAGCTTCGCAGAACATGTTTGAGCAGCTCCTTTGATACCCATCTCCCCCTCATGCCACATAAAGACCTGCCCAATAGATGGGGATGTGGTGGAGTTTTCCTTTTCTTCAGATTTCTTCAGAAAAAAACCCCATTGCCACACTGCCAGCTCCTTCCCCATTTTACTTCTCAGTGCAGGCTTCAGGAAGACCCAGCAGAGGAATGGGGATTGAAGTTTCCCAGGGCTGAGCGGGGCTCTAGGGGCGCCCACAGCGATGCCATTGCCCGCTGAGCTTGAACTTGCTGCACACACCAATTTGTTCTTGAAGTCCTTGGGCCGGGTTTTGGTGCTGAAAAACCTTGCGGTGAATAAAAATGACACTGAAACATGGAAGGTTTAAACGCAGGCATGAAGCCTGCGACTTCCCAAAGTGTTGGATCGGCCGGGGACGGGACCCGGCAC